GGCGCGAATTTAAAACGTCACGACCGGCCGGCATCAGGGGAAATCGCCGAAGCGAATGGAGGCTCCGCGAAAAAAGACTCTGCACCGACCGGGAAACTCCAGCCGAACACCGACGAAAGTAAGAATTCGTTAAAAGTATCCTATAAAGATGCTCTAACGAAGAATATTGCTTCTCGTGGTTTACAAGCCTTCAAAAAATTCAGGGGAGGTCTAGAGGCCAAGAAAAAGCCTTTAGAAATTATTCAGGTACCTGAGAAGTTGGGCAAAGTACTACGGAGCGTAGAAAAGGGTCGTGCGTTCCGTGGAATTAATATTCTCTCCCCGCACCACACTGTTAAGGCTCCCCGTCGCCCACAGGTGACGCCTACACAGCTGCCAAGGCTTAGAGGAGACATCCAGGCTCAGGAAAAATTATACAAGCCTCGAAAAAATCCTCCTACCCCCCAGGTGAAGTTGGAAAGCGCTGAGTCAGGTATAGGAAAAAGGGAAGGTATTAAGTTTGATGTACCCTATGATCCTGTTAACGAGACCCTCTTTGGCTACTCAGCACAGCAGAAACCACTACTCCTCGAGGTGTTATGCAATGGGCGACGCCTCCAAGCACTGGTGGACAGCGGTGCATCTCACTCGGTGTGTGACCGCGGAGCATTGGAGAAAATTTGAGAGAAGGCGGAAGAGACCCAGTTTTCAGCAACCATGGTGGACGGTACGAAGCTTCCTATCCACGGCGAAGCATCACTGCAACTGCATATAGGTGCGTTGAGGTGGAAGCCGAAGCTACCAGTCACCAACATCAAAGAATTAGATTTTATCTTGGGGCGAGATTTCCTGAAGCAGTTCAACCCCGAGATCGATTGGGTCAACAGCAAGGTGTGCATCTACAACAACGGGAAACGAGTGGAACTGCGAAGCTGGACGGATACAGGGGACATACCTAAAACAACACTGGCACGGTTCGAACAGACGGTGAACAAGAGTAACACGGGTTACCTAGCACTGGTTATGGCAGCAGCAGAGGAGGAGAAGCCGAGTTCCGAGCTACCTGCAGCAGTGAAAGAGGTCTTGGAGCAGTACAAGGATATAATGCCCGACGACCTACCTGCGGGCGTACCTCCAGCACGCACCCACGAGCACGAGATCGTGGAGGAACCAGGTGCGAAACCCGTCTCACGTGCACCATACCGACTGAGTCCGACTGAACTGACAGACATGAAAAAACAGATAGAGTATCTACTGGACAGACAACTGATCCGCCCATCCACCTCTCCCTACGGCGCACCAGTTCTCTTCACTCCAAAACCAGACGGCAGTCTACGGATGTGTATCGACTACCGCGCACTGAACAAACAGACTGTCAAAAACAGATATCCCATACCGCGCATAGACGACCTACTCGATCAACTGCGTGGAGCAACAGTATTTTCGAAACTGGACCTACGATCGGGCTACTGGCAGATCAAGATGGCAGACAACTCCGTCCACAAGACAGCGTTCCGTACCAGATACGGCTCCTACGAATACTTGGTGATGCCGTTCGGACTCTGCAACGCACCAGCAACGTTTCAGGCGGAGATGAATCACATCTTACGACCCCTGCTGGACGAGTGCGTGGTGGTGTACCTGGACGACATTCTCATCTACTCCAAGAACATGAAGGAGCACGTGGAGCATATGCGGAAGGTGTTCAAGATCCTGCGGAAAAACAAGTTCTACGTGAAGCTGTCAAAGAGCGACTTCGCCCTGAAGAAGGTGCAGTTTCTCGGGCACATGGTGAGTGTCGAGGGCGTACACGTGGACCCACGGAAGATCGAAGCCGTCAAGAAGTGGAAAGTACCAGAGAACGTGAAGGAGTTACAGCAGTTCCTAGGCTTCGCCAACTACTACAACAGGTTCGTGCCGCAGTACGCTAAGATAGCAGCGCCACTGACCGACCTACTGAAAAAGGATACGCCCTACAAATGGGATACCCTTCATCAGCAAGCCATGGAGCAGCTACAGACAGCACTGACTACAGCGCCAGTACTCATCTTGCCGGATCCAGACAAGGACTACGTGGTGGAAGCAGACGCTAGTGACCAAGCAGTCGGAGCAGTACTGATGCAGGATCACGGATGCGGTTTGCAGCTCATCACCTACCTCAGTAAGAAGCTACACGGAGCAGAACTAAACTACCCCATTCACGACAAGGAAGCCTTAGCGATAGTCATAGCCTTCAAGGCGTGGAGGTGTTACCTAGAGGGAGCCAAGACTACAGTCTATACTGACCACTGCAGTCTCAAATACCTGAAGTCACAGCCGACACTCTCACGACAACAGGTGCGGTGGGTGGACTTCCTGGAAACTCACTTCCACTACGACATCGTCTACAAGCCCGGGCTACACAACAAGGCAGACGCGTTGAGCCGCCCCGGACATGTAGCAGGCATCCAGCTCGACGGGATGAACCCTCTGCTCAAGGGTCTATTCCAACATGGGTACTCCGTGGACGCAGAGATTGCTACAGCACAGACCAAGAAGCTATTACAGTGGGAGAAAGACTTAGCTGTAAGGAAGGGTTCAGGAAAGATTTGGGTACCGAATTACGCCCCGCTACGGCAGATCCTATTGGAGGAGTTTCACGACGTACCTTACGCGGGACATTTCGAGAGCAACAAGACGTTAGCAGGGATAGCGAAGTATTACTACTGGCCCGGGATGGCAGCAGACGTGCAGCAGTTTGTCACCTCTTGCGACACGTGCCAGCGGATGAAGAGCAGCAAGCAGAAAAAAGCAGGGTTACTTCAGCCTCTACCCGTACCGGAGCAGCCATGGCAGGTCGTTAGCCTCGACTTCATCACAGGACTTCCTTTGACCTCACGGGGACATGATTCCATCCTCGTGGTGATCGATAAGTTCTCCAAAATGGGTCACTTCATACCGACCAACGCCACAGCTACAGCTGAAGCAACTGCTCGACTCTTCTTCGACCGCATCATCACCATCCACGGCATCCCCGCTACACTCATCTTAGACAGAGACCCCAAATTCACGAGTAAGTTCTGGAAGGAGCTCATGGGACTGTTGGGGACAAAGCTTACAATGTCTTCAGCATACCACCCCCAGACTGACGGACAGACAGAGCGACTCAATCAAGTGGTTGAACAGTTACTGCGCACAGCTTGCAAGGACGACGTCAGCCACTGGGACACACAGTTACCAACCCTAGAGTTCGCTTACAACAACGCATCACATACGGCCACTGGGAAAACTCCTTTCTTCCTGTGTTACGGACGGGAACCACTCACACCACAGCAGCCAACTACACCGGCACACGTCCAAGCCGCACATGACTTCGTCACCACCATGCAGCAGCTATGGGAGAAGACTCAGCGACGTCTCACCACGATGCAGAACTCCCAGAAGCAGTATGCCGATCGTCAGCGACGTGATCACTCAGTAGCAGTCGGAGATCAGGTGCTTCTTGACACGCGCAACTTGAACCTGTCTCACCTCCCATCCAAACTCCGGCCTCGCTTCTGTGGTCCTTTTCTTGTTGAGGCATAGGTGACACCAGTTACATTCCGCTTGCGCTTACCAGATACATGGAAGCTTCACAACGCTTTCCATATCCAGCTACTGAAGCCCTACAAGGACCCCAACCAACAGTTCCAAGGCCGGCAACTACCGCCACCACCACCTGTTCTCATACAGGATGAACCCGAGTACGAGATCGAGCGCGTTCTCTCTCATCGGCGCCGCGGTGGCAAGACTCTCGAGTTTCTGATACGCTGGAAGGGATACGACCCCACTGAGGACAGTTGGGTTGCAGAAGCTGATATGGGCAACGCACGCCATGCTCTCAAGGACTATCTTGTCAAGCAGGGTGTATCTCACGCCACCAAGCTTTGAGGGGGGGACGTGTGAGAGTACGACGGCTTATGCCAGCTATGCTTGCTTGCCTCTACTTTATCATGCTATTTCTAGCATAGGATAATCATATGCATGCATGAATTGCTTGATTTCCTAGGCTAGGTGCTTTCCTATATATTATTATAATTATAGCACCGAGCTAGGTTGCGTGCACCGAATTCTGGCTTTTCGGTTGCCACCGAATTACCTTCTACCGAATTCGGTAAGGATCTGTTCGGGACGCTTCGCGACCCGCGGAACCTTCGCGTAACACCTGGTTACGGGACCTTGTGTCGAGCCTATATATAGCCTCGTGTTGTACCCTGGTGGACATTCAATTCAATTCAATTCGACTCAATTCTCATTCTCTTTTCTGAACTCGATCCTAGATCCTCACATTTTCGTTCTGCTGCGGACACCTTGAGTTCGACACTCTCTCGTCGCCTTGCGTGCCCCGTCTCTAGCCCTGAACCCGCTCTCACGTGCATTGGCTCTGCATGCAGACTGAGTGTGCCTCGTCCCACTCGAGCCTGTTTGTGGTATCGCGCCCCGACGATCTGCTGGCTCCGAGGCACCGTGGCAGTCGAACTCGAATGATGCAGTTCGATTCGAAAGACAAGTTTCCCGATATGAACCACCAATCTTCTCTGGCGCAAGAAGTTTTCATGTGAGTGACAGCTTTGCCACCCTGCTGTCGAGCTGCTGTTCTCGACAATCTTACTCTTCTGTCCGCTGCGTCGCAGGTGGATGAAGAAGCAGCTTCGCGCCGAGTACGCGATGACCCACCAGGATCTGACCGAGGACGACCAAGAAGTGTTGAACGTGATGGACCTTCGTCTGGAGTTGAACGAGGATTTCGACCATCTGGTAAGCTCTCCTTAGACCACCAGCGTTTTCGTCGAGCATGTGTTTTGTCGCTTACGTATGTTTTGTACCCGTCGCAAACAACGACGGCCTTGTCAAGCCCCTATCAAAACGGCGCGGCAGCTCGTGTCGTGCATGGGGTGCGCCGGATTCTGTCGAAATGGGACGACTTCATCCTACAGCCTCAAAAGGGCGAACTCGTGCATCTAGGGAGAACAAACCCTGGCCCGGGTGTGCTTCCGTTGTTCATGGTCAAGCTGTTTTCGAGAAAGATCGACCAGGTGGCGGAGGGAGCAGGTGTGGGAGGGGGTGCCGACCACGAGGGAGGAGGCGAGAAGACGGGACGCGTCGTGATTGAGTACAGCGGCGAGGAGGAGGAGGAGATCGAGGAGGATACATCAAGGCAGGCTCAGCACGGGGCGAGCGGCCCGGGCGGCGATGCGAACCAGGACGAGGACTCGAGCTCGGGATCGAGCTCCGGCTCGAGCTCGAGCGATGAGTCGGTCGAGGACGACGGCAAGGGCGCCGGACATAGAACGGAGCGTACGGGGGAGCACGGAGTGGCGCTCGGGGAGCGGGTGGACGAGCGAGTAGAGCTTATCGAGCAGCAGGCGACAGGTGAAACTAAGGCTGTCGAGGAGCAGGAGGGCGGAGCGGCTGCGCAGGAGGGTGGGGTCGGAGGGCAGCAGCAGGTGGTGGGCGAGGCGGCTGCGCAGGAGGGCGGGGTTGGAGGGCAGCATCAGGAGGGCGTGGCGGCTGCGTAGGAGGGTGGGGCAGGAGTGCAGCAGCAGGAGTTTAGGGTTGCGGCTGCGTGGGTGGGTGGGTCGGGAGGGCAGGAGCAGGAGGACGAGGAGGCTGCTGAGGAGTATCGTCGAGGAGATGAGCGACAGGCCGCCGTAACAAGGAGTCACCGCACGGCCAGTGGCAGCGGACAGGCGGGCCCTTCGACCGGGTGGCCTTCGACGGTAGGCCAATCGACGGCGAACGTTGCACCCAGAGGCCAGGTCGTCGAGCTACTGCAGAGGGTCGAGAAGGTCGAGGCGTCGCAGAAGCAGCTCGTCGCCAATGTATTTGTGAAACACACTGAGCAAGCCGGAGTATTCAACAGGCTTGCTGCGGATTTTCAGACGGCGTGGAATACGATTTCGGAGTCGTCGAAGAGCACACTGTCGCAGTGCGCCGAGGCTGTGAAGGGTGTCACGGCGGAGAGGAACCTGTTGGAAGGGGCGCGGGCAAAGATCGACGAGATGAGCGGGAAGATCATCGAGGGGGTGGCAGCCACCATCACAAAAGCGAGCGAGGAAGCCGTCGAGAAGCAGCTCAAGCAGGTCGAGGAGCGGCTGGTTGCTGCGGTGCTGAAGGGTTTCGAGAAAGCCATCATGGAGGACATGTTCTGCTCCACCCTCCCACCCGAGACCATGAAGGAGCTGAAGGACATTGTAAGGGAAGGCTACCATGAAGCCGAAGTAGGGAGGTTGGAAGTCCTCACCGAAGCGATGGCGAGAGGTTTTCAGCGCTCGGCGGGCCCGTCGACGAGGTCGCGTTAGGAGGGTGTGGGAGGGGTTCGCAGCGGGGCTGAGCCTCGAGGTCACGAGCGGTCGGTTCCTCCGTCTTCTTCGGTGGGAGGACATGTCGGCAGCCCGGTTGGATCCCCACCGGCGCGTGGCCGTCATCTCGTCGCCAAGCCCGTCGAGGAAGTCATCGTACTCGACCAGTCGGCCCTCCCGAAGACCTCCGTAGCGCCTCCGATCGATCCACCTGATGCGTTTGCTTCGATGCGGGACATGCTGCAAGGCCTGGGGAAAACGGGTGGGAAAGGAGTGCTCGCGGGGGAGAAAAGTGGTGCCCCGAACGAGCACGCCGCCTCGACCGGGAACAGAGCCCTAGGAATGCGAGGTGCCTCTACCCCGTCAGGCGGCGGTGCGGGGAAAGGAGCGGGAGAAGGAAGCGCTGGGTTGCTGTCGAAGACTAAAGCGGCATCAGCTGCGCACGGCGGTGGTGCTGGCCTTGCTGTCGGGCTTGTGGGAAATTGGGCGTCTCCCTCAACCCCTCCAGTTGCTCCTGTCGCCGCTGCTTCGTCCCAAGGCAACGTTTGCCTTAGCAATCCGGGCTCCCCTTCAACGTCGAAGAAGAAGCCAGCTGCGACGAAGTCGTCGAAGCGCGCTGCACACGCGACAGAGAGCCTTGACGTGGTGGAGCTGGTGAGCGTCCCTGGTCAGGCGCCTGTCGAGAAGACCTCTATTGTCGTTGCTGCTCGACAGGAAAAGGCGAAGAAGGCCAGGGTCACGGGTCACACCCCACCTCCTCGACCAGACGACCAAGGCAAGACGAGAGGCTGCAAACGTCCCTTCAAAGGACCGGGTTTCAGGTTGCGGAAGGGGAAGCCGGTTTCCGAGCAGACCGTCGGCGGGAGGAAGCGGTTCCTTGGCACTTTTGAAACAGAGAAGGACCAGAAGTTCTGTACGGCCGTCTGCTGGCGCGTGTACTTCCCCGACGTTGTCCTTACGGAGTACGAAGGGTACACGGCGCAGGATGAGGAGGACTGGAAGGTCTACCTCGATGCGGCCGCAGAAATGCCAACCGGCGTTTGGAGCATGGCACAAGAACAAGGGGAATGTCGTTTCGACGAGTAAGTCCTGTCGAAGTCATTTTGCTAGACTCTGTTGTCAAATTCATGCTGTTTTGGTGAATTGTCGAACACCTGCTGTTTTGCGGTGAATGTGCTGTCGGTCGAATTCTGGCCTCTTGACTAACGCATTTCTTGCGATGTACAGTTACCTGTCGCTGTTGGCGACGGCAAAAAAGGAAGTGAAAGCTGGAACCAAGAGGGGAATCGCGCTGTGCGTGGCGATTGGTAAGGTCGCGACGCTTGGCCTGAAGCACGGGAATCTGATTTACTAGGTCCCGAAGGGCATGGCGGCGACACCGCACATGATGGCCATGGCAGCAACTGTGGCGAGCTTGTGGGCGGCCTGCAGGAAGTTGTCGAGGGAGGATATTAAGAAGGATGCCCTAGCTGCCGCAAACGCGGCGATCTACGCCCCGGAGACTGCAAAGAAGGCTTGTGTGGCTGCCATGTCCGCACTCGTGTCCATACTTTTGCACGGCGGCAAGACGTTCCCGGCGAAGCAGTGGCCCGATCACGTGTATTCGTCGGCTGTCGAAGGTCTCGGCTCGACGGACGCCATACTGCTGCAGATGCTGCGTGTGGCAGCACAGGTCTGTACGCAATGGTGCTGCTGTCGAGCTGCTGCCCGCTTGCTGGAGGACGCGGGCTATGGCAGCCTGGCTATGCCAGAAGAAAAGAGCAAGGCGAAGCAGGGCGACGAGGATGCAGCTGAGACGAAAACGGGCGGGCAAGGGGAGTAGTCTAGGCGGGCACTTTGCGTGGGGGTGTTTGCTATTCTCGACAGTTGTGTTTGTTGTTTCCAAAGTTTAATCGACAGAATGTACATGTTGCATGGATCTTGACTTTCCGTTTGCGATAATGCTCAGAAGGTTCATACAGGCGAGATGGTCTGTCAGTAATGAGAACCTGCCATGCAATCTCTGAAAGAACACCCTACTCTAGTTTCCCCCCTCGTCACGATTGCATGTGGAACTTGGGCTCTCGCCCAATGTTTTCATGAACTCTTTCCATTTGTCTTTGAACACGTTCTCGGCCCATTTCGTGGTTCAAAGCTCGACGCGAATGAGCTCCTGCGTGATCCTGAGGCGATCTTTGTCCTTCCGGTTGTCTTCTGGTGTCTCGAATTTGCGCTTCTTCGTGAGCTGCTTCCCCGAATCCTCTTTGAGAACGAGCCCTTCAGCAAGCATGTTGATCGAGTGGTTCGTGACTATTGAGTCAAGCTTATCAATGATCGTCGACGTAGCCGCGCTGCTGTCGTCGACCCTGAACATCTCGACGGCCCTCATGACAACCTCCATCTTCCGCAATTTCGACTCGACAGCTTTTGGGGTCGGTGGCTTTTCTTTTGGCTGGTCCACCGCAACGAGGGGAACGGTGGGAGGAGTCGGAGTGAACTTGCTGAACTTGACGGCGAAACCCCTCCTGTAAGCGTGTCGAAGACTGTGTCCGTTGTTCAGCGGGCTTGGCCCGTCCCAGTACGATCACGCCTGCCGCACAGTCTCGCAATTGCACCACGGCCACACCACTGCGTCGAAGAATGCTTGGTCCAGCTGGCTGCCCTTGCTCTGTTGAGTGGGCGTTGATTGAGGGGGTTGCTGTGGTGGCGGGGTGGTTTCTTCGGTCGCCGTCTGCGGCACACTCTCGCTCCCCCCCACATTCGCAGCTGCGGTTGTCGCGGCGGTAATCTTCAGTGCGTCGAACGCTTTCTGCAGTAGCGCGAATGCTTCTGCCTTCGCCTCCAACTCCGCTTGCATCGCGCCCTTCTCCCGCTCCAATGACTCGACCTTCTGCTCGAGGCCCTTGATCTTGATTTCTTTTTTCCCACCCTCCTCCTTGTGTAAGTTAACCTCTGCCGGAAGTTGCGTGATGAGGTGCTTGGTGTTGGGTTGAAAGAATGCGTCCTGCGCACAAGATCACGAGCGGTAGGTAAGTGGGCTGATGCAATCTGTTCGGATTAAGATTTATAAGGGCCATCTTACCGAAGCTCCCGACAGCGTGGGGTTGGTCCGCATCTCGATGCGGTACTTGTCGAGCAGGTACACGTCAAGCGCCCATTTTTGGAAATCCATGTCCTTGCACAAACCGGACTTCTGTGCATAAGGGTGACGCTCGCAGTCGCAAACAGTCACTCCGTCGAAGGGGTGGTCGTCACAATGGACGTAGTACATCGCAAGATCCTCAGCGATGGGCATTCGGGCGGCTTGCAGGGCCTTCAAGAAACTTTTCGCTGCAAAGAACATATGCTCCTTGTCCTGCTCGTTGTTCCATTCTATCGCCTAAACAAGAACAAACGTGGTGACATTGAGAGATAGACGGGCAAAACTTGCATTCGATGATCACGCTAAGCACTCGACGCATCCATACCTCGTCGAGCCACTGCTCCGCCTTTGGAAATATGTGCTCCTCGATAGCCTTCAGGACCTTCGCGGGTACTTCGCTCTTCGATCTTCCAAGGTAATAGTCACCCGGTTCCGTCATGAAACCCGCTTGCAGCTGGATGGCCCCGCGCGGGATGCCTGTGACGTATGACCTGCGCATCTCGTTCATGTCCCACTGACCCAGCTGCGCGATGTTGTCGAGTTCACAGTTTTTGTCGGCGAGGATCTGTGCCGCAGACCGTCGAAAGATATGTGTGACTTTCGACAGGATCCACTCCGCGCTTTTCATTGCCCAGGTAACCCATTTGGCATGAGTCGCGTACGGCAACTCGATCTTGTCCTTGTCGAAGAGGGCGAAGAACAGGTGCTTCCTTGACCAATTTTCCGGGTTGCTGAAATCCAAGGGGGACACGATCTTATCGTTGTTGTAGTGGAGCGGCACAAGGTCGAAAATGAAATGTATCCACATGAACACTGCTCCGAAGCCGCACTGCCGAAAGTCCATGTGTCGAGTCAGGTACAGGTGGCCGAGCTTGTTGTCTTTGATGGTCTTCGAGTTGCGATAGGCGATCACGAGAACGTGGATCGACGATTCCCCCTTGCTGTTCGTGATGGGCGGAAGGACGTGAGTGAACATATTGCAGTAGCGGATCTCGCGGATGCTTATCCCCCTGCCCAGCATGTGATGCGCCATCAGGATCATCACCCTCACGACCAAGGCCCTCCACAGCGACTGACTGGGGTAACTCATCGGCTCCCGAAAGTACTCCTTGGCCCAGTACGGCAGGATGACTGAAACGAGAATGCGGAACTGCTCCTCCGTGTAAACATCGTCGAGCGAGCCCCGGTGTGGATCAACGCACTGCCTGCATTGAGTGGGCAGATACAGCGAGTACTTGGGTGAGAATTTGAGTGAAAAGTTTTAGAGTCCGGTGTATGGCAGCCTACTTACTCGAACTGAAAGTCGTGCAGCTGCCGCAGCTTGACCGCAAGAAGCTGCCGGGCCTCGGTGATGTCGTCCAAGGGTTTCGTTAGTGGCTCGTCGAAGAGTATGGCCTCTACTCTGCAGAAGCACGTCATCGCAGTAAGGCGCGCCAGCATCATCGGAGGGGTGCTTTTTTTCGCCTTCCTTCCAGCGACTCTGGTCCGGCCTGTATCCAACGATGCCGTCTGTTGGTCGGTCTCAGTCGACGTGTATTCGACGTACGCGCGCAAGCGCCATTTCGTTATTTTCGGCCCATGCAGGTGCTCCTCGTTACGCAGCGCCTCCCTCCATCTCGGCCCCATATCATCGCCGATCTCCCTACCGATCTCGTCCTCGTAGATCACCTGCTCCTCTTTAGGCACTCCGTTGCTTCTCTCGGGTGCCAGAATTTTACAGGCCCAAGCTTTGTAGTGCATGCTTCCAGAGACATAGTTCGGCCGTGTGGAATCCTGGTCAACTCCCAGCAGCGGAACCTCACACCGGAGAATCCTGCTTTTAAGTGTTCCGGTCGCCAAGTACGGATTGTCTGTGCCCGGTTGGTCGCCGAGAATGTGCGCGGCATCCTCCTCTGATATATTTGCCGCAGCATGCCACAGAGGGTCCGGCGGTTCGACATCGTCTGCCTCCCGCTGTTCTCCCGTCCGAACATCCTCATCATTCGTCGCTTCAGGGACGTTCCTGGCTAAGTCCTCTCTGCTTGGTCTCGTCGAAGTGCGCCTAGGAGCAGCGGGGGCGGCTCGAGGAGTGGATGTGCCGGCTGGGGGTGGTTGGCGAACCTCAGGCGGAACAGCCCTTGCTCTCCTACGTCGCCCACCTGTCGAGGTCGGTGCACCAGCCGAAGGTTCCGTCGAGCGGTGGGCTGTCGACGATGGTGCACGGTCAGCTGGAGCCTCGTGTGTAAAGGGGGCATTTGTTGTCGAGATGGGTTCTACGACAACAGGTATGGATTGACCTGTCGAAGGGAATTCGGTCTGTGCACCACCCACTTCAACAGTGACCGGAATACCCGTCGAACGCTGGTCCGTAACAACCGGCTGTATTACTACCGGTATGGCTCGCGACGTCGAGGTGGGCGCTGCCACCTCCGGTATGGCACACGTCGTCGAAGGGGGCGCGGAAGAAACCGGCCTGGCTCCAGACGACGAAGGGGGTGGTGTCGAGATGGACTCCAATTCGACAGGTATCCGTCCTTCGTCTGCCTGCCGGGAAGGCGCTGTCGTCGACGGATCGGTCTCCATCAGTGCCCACCGAAAGCTACCGTTTCTCCCTAAATCCTGGCCTGCTGAGAAAACTGTGGTGCTTCTACTATGAGTTCAGGTTTATACAGCGACCTTGGGCTGATGTTGCTCCCCGTGGAGACTGAGACATTTGACGTGGCAGTCAGCAGTTGACGTGAACGTTTGACTGCGACAGACGTGACCCGTCGCCCATCCGACAGCGACAGTTCGCTCGACCGACGAGGCGACAGGTCGGCCGCAGTTGACGTCTCCGTCGATTGCGACCGTCGGCCGGTTGCGAAACAGGTTTCGCAACCGTCGACCGTCAGCGCCACCGTGTAGGCGATGCCCTGGCGACTTGCCACCGGATGTAACCAGTGTTGTCGGGGGTGCACGGTGCTCGACGGCGATTGGCCAATGTCCGTCGAGCACTGTTCGACAAATGTCCCCGAAATTGCAACAGTGCGGCTGACATATATATTGGCATAAGAATACGACATTGAACCCGCGGGTTTCGGAGGGTTTTTTGGCCTGGTCAGCCGGAAATTTCCGGGGGCCCGGAGGGATTCCGCGTGTTTTTCGTTTTGCCTCAATTCCCTTTGTGCCAGGGCGGGCGGGGCGGCATGTGCTAACGTCACCCGTGTGTATATAATCGGGAAGACCTCGCCCGAATCCCTCCGCGGAAACCCGTTCGCCCCTGCGGGTTTTCCTCGGAGGGATTTTCGTTTTCCCTCTATCGCGTGGCGGGGCACGCGAGGGGCGGGAGCCACCCCCCCCCCTCCCGCCCGAAAACGGGCACCCCCAGCTGGCGCCAGCTACCGATGACGCCAGCTGCCCGCGCCCTCGAGCTGGCAGTGGTCCCCCTCCCAACCGAGCCCAACCCCTTGCTCGGTGCGTGGACGGGTTCCGTCCGGTAACCCACCCATCCCTCGTCGAGCGACGCATCGCCGACGGAACCAGTCCGCGAAATTTCGCCGGCCAGACGAAATCGACGCCCATCTGCGCCGCGCTCCACCGCTCTCGCCCTAGACGGGCCCGTTTCGTTCAAGCCGCTCGATCTTGGTGACGTGTCGAAGGCCCCCTCCCGAACCTTGGAAGGGGCCTTTCAACTGCATGCAAGGCGGCCCACCCCATGCTACCAACAACCAGGTTTCACGTCGAGGCCAATAGGGCCCCGCCGGCCTCCGCGAAGAGCTCCTCCCTCCTCCTCCCGCGTCTCGGAAAGCGCCCTGCCTCCTCGCCCTTGAACCCCCCTGGTCCGTCGCGGTGGGAGGGATGGCAAACAGCTAATACCCTGCGTCCGGTCTCATTTTGTTGATGTTTCCGATTTTTACTTCCCTACTTCCTAGTCCCTGCTAGTTCCCAACTCCCCTGCGCGCCCGCCCTCTCCACTGCTAGGCCTAACATGGCTACGGGCTCCGCCTCCGTACCCGTCATGAACGAGGCGACGGTTCAACGCGGCCTCATCCTTAGTGCAGGCGGGGTCGAGGTGGAGGTGTACGAGGACCAGCTGAATGCGATTAGAGAGGCGCCGAAAGGGGAGCTCGACGAGAGCTTGATGGTCGCAGGCGTCGTGTACGTGTCCTGTCGAACATTTTCGGTTTGCCATGTTTGCCATTTTCGCTGACGTTGCCTTAGCTTTCCGTGCAGCCTGTTCTGTCATGAGCTGCTGTCCGTCGAGCAGCTCCCCAAGGTGTCGATCGTGACTCCAGCGCGTGCGCGTGAAGAGATGGCCCGTCCCACCCCGGTCGCTTTTGCGAACAACCACCTCGACGGCCTCCTCGGCAAGCAAGTGGTTTTCGTTCTGCTGCGGACACCGTGAGTTCGACACTCTCCCGTCACCTTGCGTGCTCCGTCTCTAGCCCTGAACCCGTTCTCACGTGCATTGGCTCTGCATGCAGACTGAGTGTGCCTCCGTTCTCCCACTCGAGCCTGTTTGTGGTATCGCGCCCCGACGATCTGCTGGCTCCGAGGCACCGTGGCAATCGAACTCGAATGATGCACTTCGATTCGAAAGACAAGTTTCCCGATATGAACCACCAATCTTCTCTGGCGCAAGAAGTTTTCTTGTGGGTGACAGCTTTGCCACCCTGCTGTCGAGCTGCTGTTCTCGACAATCTTACTCTTCTGTCCGCTGCGTCGCAGGTGGATGAAGAAGCAGCTTCGCGCCGAGTACGCGATGACCCACCAGGCTCTGACCGAGGACAACCAAGAAGTGTTGAACGTGATGGACCTTCGTCTGGAGTTGAACGAGGATTTCGACCATCTGGTAAGCTCTCCTTAGACCACCAGCGTTTTCGTCGAGCATGTGTTTTGTCGCTTACGTATGTTTTGTACCCGTCGCAGACGACGATGGCCTTGTCGAGCCCCTATCAAAACGGCGCGGCAGCTCGTGTCGTGCATGGGGTGCGCCGGATTCTGTCGAAATGGGACGACTTCATCCTACAGCCTCAAAAGGGCGAACTCGTGCATCTAGGGAGAACGAACCCTGGCCCGGGTGTGCTTCCGTTGTTCATGGTCAAGCTGTTTTCGAGAAAGATCGACCAGGTGGCGGAGGGAGCAGGTGTGGGAGGGGGTGCCGACCACGAGGGAGGAGGCGAGAAGACGGGACGCGTCGTGATTGAGTACAGCGGCGAGGAGGAGGAGGAGATCAAGGAGGATACATCAAGGCAGGCTCAGCACGGGGCGAGCGGCCCGGGCGGCGATGCGAACCAGGACGAGGACTCGAGCTCGAGATCGAGCTCCGGCTCGAGCTCGAGCGATGAGTCGGTTGAGGACGACAGCGAGGGCGCCGGACATAGAACGGACCGTACGGGGGAGCACGGAGTGGCGCTCGGGGAGCGGGTGGACGAGCGAGTAGAGCTTATCGAGCAGCAGGCGACAGGGGAAACTAAGGCTGTCGAGGAGCAGGAGGGCGGAGCGGCTGCGCAGGAGGGTGGGGTCGGAGGGCAGCAGCAGGTGGTGGGCGAGGCGGCTGCGCAGGAGGGCGGGGTTGGAGGGCAGCAGCAGGAGGGCGTGGCGGCTGCGTAGGAGGGTGGGGCAGGAGTGCAGCAGCAAGAGTTTAGGGTTGCGGCTGCGCGGGTGGGTGGGTCGGGAGGGCGGGAGCAGGAGGACGGGGAGGCTGCTGAGGAGTATCGTCGAGGAGATGAGCGACAGGCCGCCGTAACAAGGAGTCACCGCACGGCCAGTGGCAGCGGACAGGCGGGCCCTTCGACCGGGTGGCCTTCAACGGCAGGCCAATCGACGGCGAACGCTGCACCCGGAGGCCAGGTCGTCGAGCTACTGCAGAGGGTCGAGAAGGTCGAGGCGTCGCAGGAGCAGCTCGTCGCCGATGTATTTGCGAAACACACTGAGCAAGCCGGAGTATTCAACAGGCTTGCTGCGGATTTTCATACGGCGTGGAATACGATTTCGGAGTTGTCGAAGAGCACACTGTCGCAGTGCGCCGAGGCTGTGAAGGGTGTCACGGCGGAGAGGAACCTGTTGGAAGGGGTGCGGGCAAAGATCGATGAGATGAGCGAGAAGATCATCGAGGGGGTGGCAGCCGCCATCACAAAAGCGAGCGAGGACGCCGTCGAGAAGCAGCTCAAGCAGGTCGAGGAGCGGCTGGTTGCTGCGGTGCTGAAGGGTTTCGAGAAAGCCATCATGGAGGACATGTTCTGCTCCACCCTCCCACCCGAGACCATGAAGGAGCTGAAGGACATTGTGAGGGAAGGCTACCATGAAGCCAAAGCAGGGAGGTTGGAAGTCCTCACCGAAGTGATGGCGAGAGGTTTTCAGCGCTCGGCGGGCCCGTCGACGAGGTCGCGTCAAGAGGGTGTGGGAGGGGTTCGAAGCGGGGCTGAGCCTCGAGGTCACGAGCGGTCGGTTCCTCCGTCTTCTTCGGTGGGAGGACATGTCGGCAGCCCGGTTGGATCCCCACCGGCGCGTGGCCGTCATCCCGTCACCAAGCCCGTCGAGGAAGTCATCGTACTCGACCAGTCGGCCCTCCCGAAGACCTCCGTAGCGCCTCCGATCGATCCACCTGATGCGTTTGCTTTGATGCGGGACATGCTGCAAGGCCTGGGGAAAACGGGTGGGAAAGGAGTGGTCGCGGGGCAGAAAAGTGGTGCCCCGAACGAGCACGTCGCCTCGACCGGGAACATAGCCCTAGGAATGCGAGGTGCCTCTACCCCGTCAGGCGGCGGTGCGGGGAAAGGAGCGGGAGAAGGAAGCGCTGGGTTGCTGTCGAAGACTAAAGCGGCATCAGCTGCGCACGGCGGTGGTGCTGGCCTTGCTGTCGGGCTTGTGGGAAATTGGGCGTCTCCCTCAACCCCTCCAGTTGCTCCTGTCGCCGCTGCTTCGTCCCTAGGCAACGTTTGCCTTAGCGATCCGGGCTCCCCTTCAACGTCGAAGAAGAAGCCAGCTGCGACGAAGTCGTCGAAGCGCGCTGCACACGCGACAAAGAGCCTTGACGTGGTGGAGCTGGTGAGCGTCCCTGGTCAGGCGCCTGTCGAGAAGACCTCTATTGTCGTTGCTGCTCGACAGGAAAAGGCGAAGAAGGCCAGGGTCACGGGTCACACCCCACCTCCTCGACCAGACGACCAAGGCAAGACGAGAGGCTGCAAACGTCCCTTCAAAGGACCGGGTTTCAGGTTGCGGAAGGGGAAGCCGGTTTCCGAGCAGACCGTCGGCGGGAGGAAGCGGTTCCTTGGCACTTTTGAAACAGAGAAGGACCAGAAGTTCTGTACGGCCGTCTGCTGGCGCGTGTACTTCCCCGACGTTGTCCTTACGGAGTACGAAGGGTACACGGCGCAGGATGAGGAGGACTGGAAGGTCTACCTCGATGCGGCCGCAGAAATGCCAACCGGCGTTTGGAGCATGGCACAAGAACAAGGGGAATGTCGTTTCGACGAGTAAGTCCTGTCGAAGTCATTTTGCTAGACTCTGTTGTCAAATTCATGCTGTTTTGGTGAATTGTCGAACACCTGCTGTTTTGCGGTGAATGTGCTGTCGGTCGAATTCTGGCCTCTTGACTAACGCATTTCTTGCGATGTACAGTTACCTGTCGCTGTTGGCGACGGCAAAAAAGGAAGTGAAAGCTGGAACCAAGAGGGGAATCGCGCTGTGCGTGGCGATTGGTAAGGTCGCGACGCTTGGCCTGAAGCACGGGAATCTGATTTACTAGGTCCCGAAGGGCATGGCGGCGACACCGCACATGATGGCCATGGCAGCAACTGTGGCGAGCTTGTGGGCGGCCTGCAGGAAGTTGTCGAGGGAGGATATTAAGAAGGATGCCCTAGCTGCCGCAAACGCGGCGATCTACGCCCCGGAGACTGCAAAGAAGGCTTGTGTGGCTGCCATGTCCGCACTCGTGTCCATACTTTTGCACGGCGGCAAGACGTTCCCGGCGAAGCAGTGGCCCGATCACGTGTATTCGTCGGCTGTCGAAGGTCTCGGCTCGACGGACGCCATACTGCTGCAGATGCTGCGTGTGGCAGCACAGGTCTGTACGCAATGGTGCTGCTGTCGAGCTGCTGCCCGCTTGCTGGAGGACGCGGGCTATGGCAGCCTGGCTATGCCAGAAGAAAAGAGCAAGGCGAAGCAGGGCGACGAGGATGCAGCTGAGACGGAAACGGGCGGGCAAGGGGAGTAGTCTAGGCGGGCACTTTGCGTGGGGGTGTTTGCTATTCTCGACAGTTGTGTTTGTTGTTTCCAAAGTTTAATCGACAGAATGTACATGTTGCATGGATCTTGACTTTCCGTTTGCGATAATGCTCAGAAGGTTCATACAGGCGAGATGGTCTGTCAGTAATGAGAACCTGCCATGCAATCTCTGAAAGAACACCCTACTCTAGTTTCCCCCCTCGTCACGATTGCATGTGGAACTTGGGCTCTCGCCCAATGTTTTCATGAACTCTTTCCATTTGTCTTTGAACACGTTCTCGGCCCATTTCGTGGTTCAAAGCTCGACGCGAATGAGCTCCCGCGTGATCCTGAGGCGATCTTTGTCCTTCCGGTTGTCTTCTGCTGTCTCGACTTTGCGCTTCTTCGTGAGCTGCTTCCCCGAATCCTCTTTGAGAACGAGCCCTTCAGCAAGCATGTTGATCGAGTGGTTCGTGACTATTGAGTCAAGCTTATCAATGATCGTCGACGTAGCCGCGCTGCTGTCGTCGACCCTGAACATCTCGACGGCCCTCATGACAACCTCCATCTTCCGCAATTTCGACTCGACAGCTTTTGGGGTCGGTGGCTTTTCTTTTGGCTGGTCCACCGCAACGAGGGGAACGGTGGGAGGAGTCGGAGTGAACTTGCTGAACTTGACGGCGAAACCCCTCCTGTAAGCGTGTCGAAGACTGTGTCCGTTGTTCAGCGGGCTTGGCCCGTCCCAGTACGATCACGCCTGCCGCACAGTCTCGCAATTGCACCACGGCCACACCACTGCGTCGAAGAATGCTTGGTCCAGCTGGCTGCCCTTGCTCTGTTGAGTGGGCGTTGATTGAGGGGGTTGCTGTGGTGGCGGGGTGGTTTCTTCGGTCGCCGTCTGCGGCACACTCTCGCTCCCCCCCACATTCGCAGCTGCGGTTGTCGCGGCGGTAATCTTCAGTGCGTCGAACGCTTTCTGCAGTAGCGCGAATGCTTCTGCCTTCGCCTCCAACTCCGCTTGCATCGCGCCCTTCTCCCGCTCCAATGACTCGACCTTCTGCTCGAGGCCCTTGATCTTGATTTCTTTTTTCCCACCCTCCTCCTTGTGTAAGTTAACCTCTGCCGGAAGTTGCGTGATGAGGTGCTTGGTGTTGAGTTGAAAGAATGCGTCCTGCGCACAAGATCACGAGCGGTAGGTAAGTGGGCTGATGCAATCTGTTCGGATTAAGATTTATAAGGGCCATCTTACCGAAGCTCCCGACAGCGTGGGGTTGGTCCGCATCTCGATGCGGTACTTGTCGAGCAGGTACACGTCAAGCGCCCATTTTTGGAAATCCATGTCCTTGCACAAACCGGACTTCTGTGCATAAGGGTGACGCTCGCAGTCGCAAACAGTCACTCCGTCGAAGGGGTGGTCGTCACAATGGACGTAGTACATCGCAAGATCCTCAGCGATGGGCATTCGGGCGGCTTGCAGGGCCTTCAAGAAACTTTTCGCTGCGAAGAACATATGCTCCTTGTCCTGCTCGTTGTTCCATTCTATCGCCTGAACAAGAACAAACGTGGTGACATTGAGAGATAGACGGGCAAAACTTGCATTCGATGATCACGCTAAGCACTCGACGCATCCATACCTCGTCGAGCCACTGCTCCGCCTTTGGAAATATGTGCTCCTCGATAGCCTTCAGGACCTTCGCGGGTACTTCGCTCTTCGATCTTCCAAGGTAATAGTCACCCGGTTCCGTCATGAAACCCGCTTGCAGCTGGATGGCCCCGCGCGGGATGCCTGTGACGTATGACCTGCGCATCTCGTTCATGTCCCACTGACCCAGCTGCGCGATGTTGTCGAGTTCACAGTTTTTGTCGGCGAGGATCTGTGCCGCAGACCGTCGAAAGATATGTGTGACTTTCGACAGGATCCACTCCGCGCTTTTCATTGCCCAGGTAACCCATTTGGCATGAGTCGCGTACGGCAACTCGATCTTGTCCTTGTCGAAGAGGGCGAAGAACAGGTGCTTCCTTGACCAATTTTCCGGGTTGCTGAAATCCAAGGGGGACACGATCTTATCGTTGTTGTAGTGGAGCGGCACAAGGTCGAAAATGAAATGTATCCACATGAACACTGCTCCGAAGCCGCACTGCCGAAAGTCCATGTGTCGAGTCAGGTACAGGTGGCCGAGCTTGTTGTCTTTGATGGTCTTCGAGTTGCGATAGGCGACCACGAGAACGTGGATCGACGATTCCCCCTTGCTGTTCGTGATGGGCGGAAGGACGTGAGTGAACATATTGCAGTAGCGGATCTCGCGGATGCTTATCCCCCTGCCCAGCATGTGATGCGCCATCAGGATCATCACCCTCACGACCAAGGCCCTCCACAGCGACTGACTGGGGTAACTCATCGGCTCCCGAAAGTACTCCTTGGCCCAGTACGGCAGGATGACTGAAACGAGAATGCGGAACTGCTCCTCCGTGTAAACATCGTCGAGCGAGCCCCGGTGTGGATCAACGCACTGCCTGCATTGAGTGGGCAGATACAGCGAGTACTTGGGTGAGAATTTGAGTGAAAAGTTTTAGAGTCCGGTGTATGGCAGCCTACTTACTCGAACTGAAAGTCGTGCAGCTGCCGCAGCTTGACCGCAAGAAGCTGCCGGGCCTCGGTGATGTCGTCCAAGGGTTTCGTTAGTGGCTCGTCGAAGAGTATGGCCTCTACTCTGCAGAAGCACGTCATCGCAGTAAGGCGCGCCAGCATCATCGGAGGGGTGCTTTTTTTCGCCTTCCTTCCAGCGACTCTGGTCCGGCCTGTATCCAACGATGCCGTCTGTTGGTCGGTCTCAGTCGACGTGTATTCGACGTACGCGCGCAAGCGCCATTTCGTTATTTTCGGCCCATGCAGGTGCTCCTCGTTACGCAGCGCCTCCCTCCATCTCGGCCCCATATCATCGCCGATCTCCCTACCGATCTCGTCCTCGTAGATCACCTGCTCCTCTTTAGGCACTCCGTTGCTTCTCTCGGGTGCCAGAATTTTACAGGCCCAAGCTTTGTAGTGCATGCTTCCAGAGACATAGTTCGGCCGTGTGGAATCCTGGTCAACTCCCAGCAGCGGAACCTCACACCGGAGAATCCTGCTTTTAAGTGTTCCGGTCGCCAAGTACGGATTGTCTGTGCCCGGTTGGTCGCCGAGAATGTGCGCGGCATCCTCCTCTGATATATTTGCCGCAGCATGCCGCAGAGGGTCCGGCGGTTCGACATCGTCTGCCTCCCGCTGTTCTCCCGTCCGAACATCCTCATCAATCGTCGCTTCAGGGACGTTCCTGGCTAAGTCCTCTCTGCTTGGTCTCGTCGAAGTGCGCCTAGGAGCAGCGGGGGCGGCTCGAGGAGTGGATGTGCCGGCTGGGGGTGGTTGGCGAACCTCAGGCGGAACAGCCCTTGCTCTCCTACGTCGCCCACCTGTCGAGGTCGGTGCACCAGCCGAAGGTTCCGTCGAGCGGTGGGCTGTCGACGATGGTGCACGGTCAGCTGGAGCCTCGTGTGTAAAGGGGGCATTTGTTGTCGAGATGGGTTCTACGACAACAGGTATGGATTGACCTGTCGAAGGGAATTCGGTCTGTGCACCACCCACTTCAACAGTGACCGGAATACCCGTCGAACGCTGGTCCGTAACAACCGGCTGTATTACTACCGGTATGGCTCGCGACGTCGAGGTGGGCGCTGCCACCTCCGGTATGGCACACGTCGTCGAAGGGGGCGCGGAAGAAACCGGCCTGGCTCCAGACGACGAAGGGGGTGGTGTCGAGATGGACTCCAATTCGACAGGTATCCGTCCTTCGTCTGCCTGCCGGGAAGGCGCTGTCGTCGACGGATCGGTCTCCATCAGTGCCCACCGAAAGCTACCGTTTCTCCCTAAATCCTGGCCTGCTGAGAAAACTGTGGTGCTTCTACTATGAGTTCAGGTTTATACAGCGACCTTGGGCTGATGTTGCTCCCCGTGGAGACTGAGACATTTGACGTGGCAGTCAGCAGTTGACGTGAACGTTTGACTGCGACAGACGTGACCCGTCGCCCATCCGACAGCGACAGTTCGCTCGACCGACGAGGCGACAGGTCGGCCGCAGTTGACGTCTCCGTCGATTGCGACCGTCGGCCGGTTGCGAAACAGGTTTCGCAACCGTCGACCGTCAGCGCCACCGTGTAGGCGATGCCCTGGCGACTTGCCACCGGGTGTAACCAGTGTTGTCGGGGGTGCACGGTGCTCGACGGCGATTGGCCAATGTCCGTCGAGCACTGTTCGATAAATGTCCCCAAAATTGCAACAGTGCGGCTGACATATATATTGGCATAAGAATACGACATTGAACCCGCGGGTTTCGGAGGGTTTTTTGGCCTGGTCAGCCGGGAATTTCCGGGGGCCCGGAGGGATTCCGCGGGTTTTTCGTTTTGCCTCAATTCCCTTTGTGCCAGGGCGGGCGGGGCGGCATGTGCTAACGTCACCCGTGTGTTTATAATCGGGAAGACCTCGCCCGAATCCCTCCGCGGAAACCCGTTCGCCCCTGCGGGTTTTCCTCGGAGGGATTTTCGTTTTCCCTCTATCGCGTGGCGGGGCACGCGAGGGGCGGGAGCCACCCCCCCCCCCTCCCGCCCGAAAACGGGCACCCCCAGCTGGCGCCAGCTACCGATGACGCCAGCTGCCCGCGCCCTCGAGCTGGCAGTGGTCCCCCTCCCAACCGAGCCCAACCCCTTGCTCGGTGCGTGGACGGGTTCCGTCCGGTAACCCACCCATCCCTCGTCGAGCGACGCATCGCCGACGGAACCAGTCCGCGAAATTTCGCCGGCCAGACGAAATCGACGCCCATCTGCGCCGCGCTCCACCGCTCTCGCCCTAGACGGGCCCGTTTCGTTCAAGCCGCTCGATCTTGGTGACGTGTCGAAGGCCCCCTCCCGAACCTTGGAAGGGGCCTTTCAACTGCATGCAAGGCGGCCCACCCCATGCTACCAACAACCAGGTTTCACGTC